TAAAATAATTAATTCTAACTCAGTCGCTGTTTTTCATCCTTTATACTGACCCGCTCCCACCAAAACAATAGAGATACTTACCTCTGAAAGTGCCATGTTTGTTGAAGGTTTACAGCTTTAATCCTGGTCCTCCGTGTTTTCATAGGGTGTACTGTGTATATTTGTGCTGCACATACTTTACAAACCTCTACTTAGTAGGGCTGTGTAGCATAAGTCTTGTAGCAGTAATGATTAGAAATTAATTCATGAAAAGACATGAATGAAACTACATTGTAAAGTAATATAAAGAAAAAGCGTGGCTTTAATAAAATTTTACTTTTTCATGTTTTTTTTCATGAAGACCGCCCATGGAGGCTTGTGTGTGGCTTTAAAGCCACCAGTCTATAATTGAAACCTGTTTTATAAACTAGTTACAAGTTTCTATAATTAGTAGACTTGTGCATGGCAAAAAACATTTGGTTAACACGAACCAAGTTTCATCCATGTGATGTTTCAGTTCCGAAAAATTTCATCCATGCCATTTTTGGGGGGTAAAAACAATTTGTACATACCAATAAGGTGTTAAAATGTGCCTACTAGTATACTGCAATGAAATAAACAGCTAAAATATTGCCTAGCCAAATTGCTACGCAATATCAGCCATTTTTGCAATGGAAATTGTGAGTGGTCATAATTATATTATTATATTTATATTAAAAAAAATATTAAGTGAGAACTTTTAAAGGTTGTTTACAAAGGTCAGGGCCGCCTACAGAGGGGTACAGGTAGTACTCCTGTAAGGGGCCCAGGCTCATATGGCAAAAAAATTCAATTATATATATATATATATTTATATAGCGAATATCGCTGTATACATACAGCCAAAGAGAGGGAGGTTAAAGTTCTACCTCCACCCAACATTGTAGGCTTTCACAGGGACTGTCTGTCTGCTCCTTAGCTGGGTCTTCTCCCTCTCATGCTTCCTGGTTGTCAGAGCTTTTCAACAGGTTACCATGGCGATGCCCCAACACTGCATTCGGCAGGGGTATGCGGAAGCAGCATTCGCACCATGCAGGAGCTTCTACAGTGCCACCGAACCGTCCCCCATGCCTGGCCATACACATGCGCTTCATTACCTAAACACATTACATCCCTTACAAACACACACTGCATCACCTACTGCAGTCTTATGTGCCTGGGAGGTGGTGATGTAATGGGTGGTGGACTCGGGGCAAGCTCTGTGGACAGACTTTGTAAGGGGTCCCAAAATTTCTGATGGCAGCCCTGACAATGGTTGTTTATAACTTGTAATGATTGTTTTTTTGTTTGCAATCTTCTAAATTAGTGAAAAAAGGGGAGCAGCTCAAACACTTGAAATCCAGGATTAGTTATCAGAGAAAGCCCAAGTGATAGAGCGAAACGCATCAAAAAAGCAAGTGACAATTGAAGTGACATGGCAACTCCCCAAGTGACTGGAGCAGTACGGGTCACAGAATTAGTAGAAGCACAGTGGAAGTTGGTTGTGCTTGGCATTTTAAGTTAACTTTATGAACTTTGAGCTTACAAATTGGATGTAAGGGTTATTTAAATTGTTTTTGTACATTAAAATTGTAAAGTGTACTGGAGCCTCCCTGTTATTATCCAAATGTTACAGATCGCTTCATATGGAAAAGAAGCACATCCATAATAACTTTTATGCTGATCTACATATAGGCAGTTTGAATTGGCTCTTGGATTAGTGAGTTTATTTCTTTTGGGTATTTTAAAGGAGAGTGTAATGTTACATAGATATTCTGCACTACCAAATGTCTTTTGTTTTTACAGATATTTAAAAATCATATGGCAAACATATACTATTATTCAAAGAAACAACAACTCAGAAGGCCAGGTTCAACCTCTAACATCAAAGGCAGCTACTGTACCATAGGGATCCCTCTATTCAATCCAAAAATACCATTGGGATTTTTGTATGTAATTACCTTGATTAGCTCCTTGGCTGCTTGCAATAAAATATCTTTCATTTCCTCTGGGATGGTGACTTGAATACACACCTGCCAATCTCCGTGCTGGAATCGCACTGGCATGGAGAAAACAATACCAGCTGGCAGCTCAAACTCCCCTATAACAGAAAGATATATATATATATATATATATATATAGGAAGAGATACAATGAACACTATATTTTACAAATAATGATGTCATAAGCTGCAATGTTGTTGGTGAACGAGAATATTTATATATAGGAATATTGGCTATGAATACAAAATGAAATGAAAAGACATCAGTGTATGCAGATACTGTGAGTGTGTATGAATAAATAAATTGTGCATGTATAGACAGCCTAATGAATGGCCTGGTTCTAAATATTTTTTCATCCACTACATTTATTTTTGTGTGTGTTTTATTTCCAATACAAACCTTCACTCATTACACCCAATGAAACTATCTCTCCAGTGTCCGAATCCTTATGCCACCACGACAAAACTTTGGCTATACAATGGGCAGCTGACATGCCGGAACGATGCTCCCTTCTTTCACGCCATTCTTGTACAAGGTTATTCTTAAGCCATTTCCTATCAGGATTAGGAGGAGAAATGAAGATATGAATATAAAATACTATAGATATTTCTAAGCTTTAATTGGTATTTCAAGAGCATCTCACAACTTTTAAATGTGATATGCAAGCAACCAATGTGTGTATGGATATTAACCTATTCTCTGCTGTGCCATTTTCAATAGTCAAGAGACCAAGCCAATTTTCACCAGTGTGTTTTGTTTTAATTGACATGACATTTCTATCATGAGTTGCTTATTTTTCAGAAGGCACTAAATTGCCCAAGTTCAATTTGAAAATAAGCCATATTGAAACAAAAATAGATTTTTTTTTATTATCATTATTATTTATTACTTAATTTATTTGGCTAGTTTGTAAATTAAATGTCAGAATATTGCATTCACGCACATGAAAACATACGTGTATTAAAGAATAACTGCTTTTTAAGCATATGTTTTTTTGCTTAAAGACACTGTAGGCAGCCAGACCACTTCAGCTCTCTGAGGTGGTCTGGGTGCTGTGTCCCTTTTGCACTTAGTGCCACAATGTTAAATATTGCAGTCCCAGAGAACTGCAATTTTTATATTGCAGCTCTAAGCCTGCCCTCATTTATAACAATAATTGAATTAGCCATTCCAAAGTGTTCATTTCCATAAAGCAAATACAGCAGTATTAATTTCTACATGTAACTTAATACTGCAGTACTCATAAACACATATTTGTTTAAAATAGGGGATGAGTAAACATAATATAAAAAATCTCAGGATGTTACAGATTTGCTTTAAAGGTTTCTTGGTGAAAACATTTATAACTGAGCTCTAATGCACACCAGTGAAAAAATATACCTAACCATAGACATTTTACATAAGATTCTCAGTGCAAAAATAAAGATCCTGTGAATATCTATCAGGATTATTTCATAAAGTGTTAATTTTTATGACTTTGAGGTGAAGTTCAAATTTTAGGCCAACACAGCTAAACTGGAAACATAACTGACTTGGATAATTTTCCCAATTTTGCCATTTTGACTTCCACATTTCCACATTCCCAGATATTCACACTTTGGTAAATAACTCTCTCTCAATTCATAGAACATTAAATGCACAGAGGTCTGTAGAGGTGTCCCTGTCTGACCAGCTCACAGAATGGTAGACAGAAAAACAAGATTAACAAAAATGTTATTTCAAGACATTTCCAGTCTCATAAAAAAATTACCTCTCTCAAACAATATACCTTGTTATCTTACTGCTGTAAAACATAATACTTTGCCATAATGATTCAAAAATGAAACAAAGCAATAAGTTTTTAACACATTAACAGAGGCAAAAACATGAATGTATTATCTGTATAATTATAAGGCACATGACACACCTGTCATATATCATATTAAGCAACGGACGTGAGAAGGTTGGAGGTCCCCACACAGAGCTTTCATACTGGTAAATTTTTGCGTCACGAAGATCTAGGTGATTGATTCCATTAATATTCCCCCAGACAATCACATCCTTGACAGCTGCCAAAACAAGACGCACAATTGATAAATAACTAATCAAAAAATAAAAATAGTACTTGCACTTAGTCATACACAAGGTGCAGGTATCTAGGTCACCTCTAAGAACACAAAATCAAATAATACAAAAACACCAAAAGGATACCACACTCTAATTTAAAGAAAAGATTATTAAATGATAATTTATTGACACAACATAGTAATACTAGATAGAGTGTTAATCTATCCTGTGCAATGATAAATATACATCACAGTTCAATGATTTGCCCACCATAGTTAAAGTGCAAAAGATATCTTAAAGTGCTAGTTGCCAAATCACCATAAATACAATCTACCTATACATAGAGTATAATGTGACAGCATTATAAAATATACAATACTGCCTGCCAATGATCCTCTGCAAGAAGCAAAACCCTTAGAGAAATAGTTATCAGTCATCTGTGACATCAAAGTTCCTGAAGAATAGTCAAGGAGTCTATTAGCCTGTCCCAATCTGGAGTATGTTGCTGTAGATCCCATAAAAAATAAAGAAAATGAACGGAAAAAAACAAAAAATCTGAAAAAAATTTAAAAATATAAGGAAAAACGTTCTATAATAGGATTTGGTCAGATCTTACCCATAGAGAATCAAGGAGGCCTCCTGATGGGTTTTCAATGACATGCAGACTCTTCAAAGAACAGGAAAGGAACCCAGTGTTTCCAATTTAGCTCTTTGTTCATATCTCTTTGAGTAGCTTTTCTGTGATAGCAGGATGGAGGCAAGCAGGTCCGGGATGCGCGCTCGGGAGGCCAAGCAGGTCCGGGGATGCGCGCTCGGAATGTTACTTCCTTTCAAATCTAGTATTACTATGTTGTGTCAATAAATCACAATTTAATAATCTTTTCTTTAAATTAAAGTGCGGTATCCTTTTGGTCTTTTTGATAAATAATTTATATCTGAGCTACATAAATTAGTCTAGTGAAAAGGGTGTTAGGATATTTGTAGTGGACAATTTTTAGCAAACACTAAATTTCAGAGTACACAACTTTTATTCAGGACCTAAAACACACTACAGGCATACCCCACTTGTAAGTACACAATGGGACCAGAGCATATATGTAAAACGAAAATGTACTTAAAGCGAAGCAATATCTTTTTTCACTTACCAATGCATGTACTGCATTGCAATAGTAATTTAAAGGCATAACTGATACTGCAACTGCAGATTTCCAGTGATTTATTTAGTGATATCCAGTGGGCTTTTATTCAGTTAAAACAAACCGTAAAAAGAAAAATCTCATTCCAGATTTATCTTTAATGTTTTAACCATTTGACAACCTTAAAGGGAAACGCCAGTGCTGGCACTGCAGGTCCCCTCTCCCTCCCAGCCCCCCAATCCCCGGTTGCTGAAGGGGTGAAAACCCCTTCAGTAACTTACCAGAGGCCGCTGTATTACGTCGGCCTGTGGGTGAGACTGATCCCACCCACCGGCCGGAGAGACCTAATGCTCATGCGCATTAGAGCTCCCCATAGCTTTTCAATGCTTTCCTATGGGGAATTGAGCGACGCTGGAGGTCCTCACACAGGTTTTCTGTGCTATGATGCAGGAAGTGCCCTCTAGTGGCTGTCTTGTTGACAGCCACTAGAGGTGGAGTTAACCCTGCAAGGTAATTATTGCAGTTTAGAAAAAACTGCAATAATTACACTTGCAGGGTTAAGAGTAGTGGGAGTTGGCACCCAGACCACTCCAATAGGCAGAAGTGGTCTGGGTGCCTGGAGTGTCCCTTTAAACTAAGAGGAAAAGTATAACAAATGTGCCCCTGGGCCATTTTCTGTCAATACAGTGCCAATTTGTATTTATTAGCAGCTTAGTTGCAAACTTTGTTTAGAAACACCTCTTCATCACTTTAAGCATTTATGGTTTAACTTTGAATCCTCGGAATTGTGGCTAATGCAGCTAAGCTGCTAAGTCATAGTTATAGAAAATGGCAGGGTAAACCCTTTCTCTGGATGGCAGCCGATTGCAGAATATGGACAATGTAGGGGCAGAAAAAAAAATATATATGTTCAGCTAGGAGTAGACATTATACATTTGTCCTGATATGTTTGAGGTTTACAGATCCTAACTCAACCCATAAAACAAAAACAGAATGAGATGATTAACCTGTGCCATGTCAGAAGGTGTGAAAACTTCTTGCCCCAAAGACACTGAACTGAGCTGCTCCGGGCGAGAATAGAACCTTCCATTTCCTGTTCCCTCACTGACAGAAGAGGAGCGGGAATGTCCGTACTTGCGAGGCACCGTTACGTACACTCGCGGGTATGTTTTTGTGTATGTAAAGTGAGTGTATGTAAAGCGGGGTATAGCTATATAGAACTTTTTGGTGAATGGTGATATTTACTTGTTAGGAATGAACACTAAACAAACAAACACTGCTAAACAGTTTTGGGGGCTAGTCAGGGATATATAGTCATTAGGTTGGGGTTACTGATCTTGATTCAGAACACTAAGCAGTTGTTGCAGAGTATTCCTTGAGATAAAAGACGATATGCAGTTAAATATGAGGTTATGGGCAGAACGTATTAATTTCAACATTTATTCCAACCAAACTCAATACCTCATATCTCTTCAATACCTTAGCAAGGTAAACTGTCACTTTAAATGTCCATGGGTATGTATTTAATTACTTATAGGACTGTATGCGTTTATATTATCTGTGTATTCATAAATTACTTTTTAATCAATGTAAAAAAATAGTTATGTATTAAGCTTATAAATGCATTTTAGATTTTTCCTCCGCTGAATGTGTCCCTCTGAATTTTCATTGAACCCAGGATTCCTGCCTTTTGGCATCATTGTCAACTTTGGGGTCTGTTTTAGCTCCTCACACAATCTCTCAACCTCCAAATTAATGCAGACCTTTCTAGCAGAAAATGCAAAGAAAAAAAAAACATCCTTTCATCATCAACCAACTCAGCTGTTTCTACATATTTCACATTGGTTTGTACTGTATCATATTGCCCTGTATTTAGGAAATGACCCACACTTAGCCTGCGTAACCATGCCTCTTTAAACATCATCTGTTTATATTTACAATGGCTTCTTGCTTTTTGCAAGAATATATACAAAACCTTAGTTCGCACCTAGTATGGTTCCCACAACTGTACCTCAAATTATCACTACTATCATCTCCTTTACCTCTCTTTTACAGTGCAAAATATTGGCTCTAAACTTCACTATTTAACTCCCCCACACATAACTTCTCTAAGGTTGCATTATTTATAATGTCCTGCTAGATTTTCCAAACTTTTCTAAAATCCCCATAATTGACCACTTGTTTTAGGTATTGTATCAGCTCCTAATGTTTCTGCTGCCTGTTTTTCCATCAGTTAACAAACCTTGACCTTCTCATACCTAACCCTTCTTGCCTTTTAAGATTCGTAAAGACGTATCTTAATCTAGAATAAGATTGTTCCTTTGTGTTCCTGATTGCATATGTTTTAATTTGTATTATATTATAGTGATGAATATGCTGGCACCTTATATAATAATTAGTGAAACAAAATCAATTTCCTTTCACACCTGCTGATTGTGTGTTCAATTTCTTTGCTATCAGAGCTTTAGCTTCAAATTCCAGCTGTGTTGGCAATGCCACGATATTATGCTGGTTGATGGAAGGTGCATTGCTTGCGATTATTAGTGCCTTCAGGTTTACATAGCTACTTCCTGCCACAACCACTTTCACGTCCTTGTCTGCATTCTGATTAATGAGCGCTCCATACTTCGCACATTCACTGGTTACCATTTTAATATATTCTTCAGGACATTGATCCACCTTGGGAATGGCATTATCGAGAACAATGACAACGTTTGCCTGCTTGAATATATCATCAGCCATTGTGTGCATGGTGACTCTTCTGAGAAGCGGATATGCCAAATCTTGGGTTTCCATAATTACAGCAGAAAGACTATCCATGCAGTGAGCGCTGTCCAACAAATGCAACCAAATCTCATTGTTCATCCCAAAGATTTCTCCACTGGCCAGAATTGGAATCAGATTGTAGCATGGAGGCAATAATGCACTACAAAGATAAATTAGAAGTACATTTGAGATATTTATTTATTATAAAGCACTGTTAACGAGTGCCATTAATAAAAAATTATAGACATTATAAGACATACTGATACAAAAAGATAAGAGAACCCTGCTATTGGGAGTAGAGAAATAAGCTACACTCCAATGATGTAGCACTTCCTACAAAGTGCTATGAAAAACATCCTAGAGAGATAATGTTGGCTGCTTGGCTGATTATGAGCATGACGTATTAAAAAAATACTTCTCAAGCAAGGCTACAGTGAAGACAAGGTGGAGAATGTGTCCAGTGAAGAAGGAAGGTAAACAGTGTATAATCTGCATAGCAGGCTTGGTCATCTGTCCACAGTGATGCTTACACTGATAGAAGTAGGGACTA